TATTTATAAATTTCCTTTAATTATTGCTCTTTTGAAGGGCAGGCAATTGTTTCTGATTCTTGAGATACAAAAAGTATAAATATCTGCAAAATATTCTACTACTTGGTAGAACATAATTTTACTATTACCAAGCACAGTATATATTCAACATTAAATTTAAACTCAAACCACCACATATTTTCAGTAATAATTCTGATTGTATAAATCACTAAACGTTCAAGTAATTTAAGAGAGCATTTATACCCGTAATTTATTAAAAATTATTTTATTAATTACATTCACATTCGAAACTTGAAATTGCAATGAATGTTCCTGTATATGATATGTTTTAAATCATCCTCTAATTTTGTACCACTTTATTCCTTAATTCATTGTTTAATATTGTCTCCTGCTAGATTTGCGTAATTAGGCAGTTAATCACTCTTGAAAGCATTTTTTTTTAAGTCATTGTGCACTTCATGCTCTAGCCTGAAGATCATTGCACGCAATACTTGGTTGAAAATAATGGTTCCATTTTTAACGATTTCATAATTAATGAACACCAATTTTTCACACCAATTACTCATACACGCGACATATCGAAAAGTATTGAAGTTTCTTTCCCAAGGTATTTATTACTCTTAACATATCACTATTCAGATCAAGCATATTCGAGTAAGACGTTCAAGACTTGCGAATTAAATGACGAGTCGCACAGTGTGTCGAGGAAGTCATAAAAATGTGGGAATAGCGTCGAGTGAAGCTTATACAATATGTTCGGTTGATTTACAAGACTCTATAAGAGCATAAGTTGACTAATCGGATCTGACTCGAACATGCTTTGATTTAGAAGTTGATCAATTTACTTATATATAGAATATCTATATGTGTTAGAGTTTTTCAACGCGTACACATATTTTCCTTTGTATCTAACACCAAGAGACAATGAATTATTAAAAACGTGTTGTTTTGTGAATATTTAGATTTTACTTGATTAAAATTTCTTTGCTGATATTCGTCCAAGTGGTGATATTAGTAATCTCTGCTGGCTGTCCAACTGTGGGGTCCCTATCTTATAGTAATCTATACATACGTTTTCGTGATTTACGTTGTGATAATTTTTTGATGTTTTTAGAATTAACGAGACATTCCTTAAAATGGCATGCAGCATTATTTTTATTCCAAAATATAATAGACATAAAACTTTTGTTCTTTTTTTCATTGACATCATCTCCAAGGCACTAATAAGGCCTTTATTCCCGTCAGATGCAATAGAAATTAAAAAAAGTTTGCGATATGAGAAACTTGTGGGAGACCCTCATTGTAGTTGTCAGCAATTCAACATCATGAATGCCCAATTACTCACGATATGTAAATTCAAATTATAAAGAAATTAATAAAGAAACTTGAGTGCAATCTTAAAAAGATTTAATATCAAGCAAACAAAAATAGAATATTTAGGAGTCATTGCACTTTTCAAAATTTGTAATATCATAAATTTCGGGTAATACTGTTTCGCAGAACTTTACAAATATGTCGACATGAACGTTCTCATGATCACTATCAATATCAATCGTCAAAAGGGTGAAACATATACAACAAAAGTATGAAGGCGAAGTAGTCAGACCGTATTTCAAAATCAAAAACGGGTGATACTTTTACAGGTGAAATATAAAAGATGATGATGTAACGTAAATAAAAACAATGTTAAAACAAGTATTCATACAAAGGTTTGTCGCTTCACAACTCATACGAGTACATGTGGAATATTCGAACAAACCATTGATAAGTGTCCCCCACTGTTTCTTCCTTTTTTTACGATATGTTTGATCACAGTTATGTGCAGAATAAAATACAATGTAATAATAATACGAAATGATGATTCGTGCTATTAGCCGCTAGATCTTTACAATAGAAGTAAATACTAGAGACCGAATGAAGGATCCGTGCGATAAATAAGTTTCTCTACGCTTTACTAAAAAACCTAGTAAAGTATAGATTATTTCGTGAATTCCTAAAGTAAAAGAGTCGATTCGAGCAAAATTTATTAACTTTACATAAATGTGTCGAATAAACTCTTTCCTTAGATATCTATACCGTGTTTAAATTAAAGCTAATGTACATGATTCACGATTCAACCTACACTAGAACTTGGCGTACACGTTATACGCTTCTGGTATTAATTTATATTAAACTTTATTATTTATATTTTATTAACGCATTCGGTGCTGTCGGCTCCTAAACTAGCAACAATAATCTGCGATTCGTACGAATAACGCAGCGATAACAAAATTTGCTGATTGCGTTACGAAACTCCCAAACGCAAGTGTTGTTTGTATTGCAACAAAAATAGGTTTAATGCTGAAACGCGCTTTCTTATTTTCGATAACGGGGTTTTAACGTACGGAGCATTTACACGTTACTAGTCAGTGTTTTTCATGAGAAGAGCAAAAAAAGAGAGGTATTATTTTTTTTCCTTTAGTTTTCGTATACTTATCACTCATGAAAAAAACGTTGACTAGTAGTTAAGTAAACATTCCTTATTTATATTCAAATGTACGCTAATACGTTATCATAGTTGATGCAAAATCAGCGCGTTCCTATACAGAAATGAAAGCATCTATAAAATATATTCATTAAATAATAAACGTAACACTTGCGTTTAAGGTCATGATGTATATATAAATTTTGTATTTTCCCCTTAGCCACCATGAGCCATTGTGTTATAATACATTTGTAAAATACTAGATTCCCAACACATGTTTTCAATATCTGATTATAGTAGCGTGAATTTGAGTATACGTTATTAATCTGACACTAAATTCTATTACTTCGGAGATAGTTAATGTAGAAGTATTAATTGACAGTGCATATTGTTACTACATTTGATTCAAGAGAAACTGAAATCTTTCGAGAATGAAAGAACATTGCACAAAAGAAAATTGATTTGTACTAATAATGCGTATTAAGTAATTCTGAACACTCTGAGATTCTTAAGTTGTTTGTCGACTATGTTTTTACATTTTTGTTTAATACAAAATACTAACATGAGCGTGTTTAGAATTGAACAATGCTTTTCATTTTGTGAAAGAATTCATTTTCCATACATATTTGTGCATGCATGATTCATCTATCATACCTTGAACAATGAAGTTAATTCTTTAATAGTGATCTTATGAGTTAATTATTGGTACTATAATTATGACGGAAAACTCGATTACTATAAATAAAATTGAAAAAATTTAGGCCAATCAAAATGATTACCTGAATGAAACTGCAATATTTGCACATCACTATCAGTCATTGAATGATAAATAGCTAGAGACCAATATAATCAGAACTTCTGAGGAACCATTCATTTTTTAAATGTTCATGGACGAAGTGAGAAAATCACAAGAGTGTTTACATACATGATATACCAATCGACAGTCGCTTGTCAGTCATTACAACCACCAAGGCCATTTGAATATTTGTACAAAAAACATTGTCAGAGATATCACTGACATTCTACGTATTAACATTTTCATTTTATAGTACTAGCTCTTTCCTTTCTTATTCTTCTTAGATAACATCTCTTGGTACTTCAAACATTAATTTTTAATTTAACGACAGTAAAAATCTGTCGACGAATATTCCCTGCTATAAAAATGTATACTCTGAGTGATTCTATGAAACAGAGTATATACTATACAGAAAATAAGGTAACGTATTTTACCTATTTATTCAACAGCAAAACCACAGGTTTCTTCAACCGCCTGTGTAAGCTTATCAAGCATTTTCTGATAACTGGGATAACTTTCGGGTATATCTATTCTATTGAAACAAGTATGCGCTTTTGGCAAATTTTCACTAGGTGCATCGACTGCATGAATTGTGAACAGACGTGGACCTGCAGCTCCTGTTGAACCTATGAAAAATATATTAATCGTACAAGCCAATATAAAAAAAAAGAAAGAAAAAGCAGTTAAACATATTCTGAATATATGTATGATATTACCTTGTAAAGCCTTAAAACCTTGCAAGGGAACTCTGGAACTTCCGGTAACAAACTGAAGTAATCGGGCTCTCATTTCTTCTCCGTAAGACTCGACTATTTGCCAGAACCACTTTACCACTGGCGTATCAGGTGTGCAATGTTTTAATCGTGTGTGCATTTTCCAGTCATTAATATCAATAGTTCCCAAACCACCTATAACCAATTCTAATTCTCTTTCGTCGAATGGTCTTAACAGTTGCGGTGGAATTAGTTCGTGGAATCCCTTTTGTAATGCTAGAAACTGTTGTTCAATTCCTCGCATGAAGCGATAATTTACATATAGGCGGACATATTCCCTTTTATTTTCTTCAGTTACGGGAATGTCTTTGCCGCCTGGTTTTAGCTCGTGATTTTTTAATACTCCGAAACTACTGTGTTCTACTGAAAATGTAGCATCCAAAACTCCGTCTATACTGTTTTCTCTGTCAAGAAAGTAACAATACTTTTTACATGTTCTCTTCTCTTCTCGTACACAGAATAATTCATGTTTACTTACAACATCCACGTGAGACTTCTGTGTAATTCTGGATCGACCCCTTCTATATCAGTTAGAGTAATTGCTTTGTTAAGCAACATTTTGTAAAACGGAGTTGTGAATCCACCGTCGATATGGTGACCATGAAAAACAGCAATTCCTATTATCCTGCCAGCAAAGTGGAAGTACGATAAATGTTCTGGATTTATTCCTGAATCTGGATTAATCTGAAGCGTATAGTTGTCATCTCTCGAATATTGAAATAGTCCATATTGTGGATTTAACATTTCATGAGATAGTAAATATAACCATTCTCGAGCAACACCACCATAATCGAGGCCTTCTTCACCACGGAATTTTACCATAAGCCTTTTCCGCATGTCTTTTGGTCGCATTTTCATTATTAATCTATACGATTCCTGAAAAATTGTATAGACAATTAGAATAAGTACCACAATTTTCATATCTCGCTTATATTATTCACTTATCTCACGATATTTTTCAATACTCACTTCGAAAATTTCATTTCTGGATACTTCAAGCCTACAGTGTCCACTCTGTGGTTGAAGAGCATTTAATTCTGCCCTCAAACATTTTAATTTCGCCACTAGATCTCTTTTGTATTTCGGCAAAAGTTCATTATCCATGAGTTCCTTTGGCAATTCAGATACGGTCTGCGCATTTTGACTCGTTGTATTTTCCACTAAAATCAGAAGCACAAATGTACAGAGCACGTAGATGAAGTTACTATATCTATTGCAACCATAATACAAACACTAATTACAATACAGAGCTCTAACAAGTAAATAGTGTCCAAATCGGAAAGACATGTCGCTAAAGACTGACTAATGAATAGGAAGCGATTGCTGAATAGATATCCGTGACGAGATAAGATAAAATTGTGCGATGCACAAATATGTTTTTGTTTTGATCAGCCTAGGATTTAATTATAATGATAACGTTAGCAAATTGCAAGCCGAATACATTTAAAAACAAACATTAAAAAAATAAAGTATTTAAAAATTGTAATACTATTTCATTATTTTCAGACTTACAAGTTGGTGAATTATTGTTACTGCCACTCTCTGTTCTTGGCCTTTGTTGAACTATATTGCATTGAATACTTGGTGATGTTGGTGTCTCTGTTTCTGTAGTTTCGCTTGCAGCTGTGACTGCTGGTGAATTATTTGCGCTACTTGTTTGATTAGTTGTACTATTATTTTGTCTCCTACTGTTGTGATAAAAAAATATCATAATTAAGAAAAAACACTTAATAAGCTGTACTTATTATATTATTGATAATTAAATGTATTGTTAGCTTACTTTAATAGATTGCTTATAATTTGACTGGATAGTCTAGGATCAGTGAATTGCGTAGTTCGATTATTATGATCGACAAAATAAACGCGACCACTATGCGTTTGTCGCATTTCCCAACCACTAGGTAATGGTCCAAGTTCACTTGCTAATTCGTTGGCTGGTAAATCTCTAGGAATTCTAGGATCATGCCACGTAGACGAACCAGTTGGTACATGATAAAAATACACTTGACCTTGTTGGGTTTTTCTCATTTCTGTGAAATATTGATTTTCTTATATTCTTCGTTCAAGTTGTACATGTCCTGCAATTAGAAGCGTTTTTAATAACATAATACTCACCGTATCCTCGAGGCAAATCTGGTGGTTGCGGAGGATCGTATCTCATCTCGTTATTAGCTGTTACGCTGTTTCTGTTTCTATTACTTCGATTAGGCCTCCGTGGTTGACTATTATTAGTACCACGATCTGGTCTAACATTCCCACTTTGATTGCCGTTTTGTTCATCAGATGCTCTTACTGGTCGACGTTCTCTTGACGACGCCGGTGTCATATTTCTTGTATTATGTTGATTTTGTATGTTTCTATTCTGTTGTTGGGTCGTTGGTGTATTTCTTGGGGTGTTTGATGTAGAACTGTCTCTGCTGGGTGTTCTACTAGGCGTTCCTTCACCGTTCCATTCAGGTGTGCATCTTGTAGGACTTTCAGTGGTTAGATTAGGAGGGCTTCCACTACCACTGGGCGAAGTAAATTCCGAAAACGGAAGTGGTGGTGGCTCGGGTGTAGTTGGTATAATACCATTGTTAGGCCTGATATAAAATCATATAGTATAAGTCATTTACATTCGAGGAGCCACATATTAGTTTGTAAAAAACAAAAATATACCGAGCATTTGGACGAATCCATTGTGTACTTCTGAGGTAATGATTGACATAATAGAGACGTCCACTATGAGTTCTCCTTTCTTCCCACCCTTCTGGCAGATCAGTGGGACAACTGAGATCCCCAAGAACATCTACCACAGCATTATGACCTACTGTATTGCTCACAGCACCATTGTGACCATCCCGTGACAATAAGGATACAACAATTTGTCCTTTAACAACGTCAGTGTCATCTGAGTGGGCTTTGCAAAGGTCTAGTCGCTGGTCTGTAAAACATAAAAGGTTCACAATTATGCCTTATCAATATATTGTTTCCAATTGTTACAGCAGGCAAATTACATCCAGTATCCTTGAGTCTTTGAATTGTGTTGGACAATATTCGTACACATCCCAAAAACCCACCACCTTTCTTTTTATGAATTTTCTTATGATTCCACACTGATATAGTAATGCCATCATTCTTTCCAATGTATCTAGAAAAAAACATGAACCGTTTTTTCCAAATAATTACAATCATGTAGCAATAAAGATACTTACAGGTCATAATGTTGGTTCCATTTAGGATCTAGTGTTGCTTTGCATGTATCTGTGCTATGACACTGACCAGAACCGTCTACTGTGATCTTGGCGAAAGGGTCCGGTAGGCCTAAAACCAATCTATTATACTTCACTGCTTTTCACATATCCTACTACTTTTTCGCAAACAGGATACTCACGAAACAAATCTTTCCTGACAAGATTACGGGCACATAAAACTGTAAAATTCACATAATTAGATTATACATTATTTTGTATGAATCTTATTCTACCAAACATGTATCAATTACACATAAACAGACACAGAGAAACAAACGAAATTAATGTTGATAAAACTAGAAATTGAATTAATTTTTTAAGCATTATCCTTTAACAATGTGTAAATACAATGTTAGCATTACCTAAGACAGTTAATCGAATATTATGTTTATAAGTCACTCTCCTATCTAGAAACAGAGTGTACTAAAATCTATATTGCAGACATTTAAAAAACGAAGATAAAGGAAGAACAAGAATCTGCTAAAATGATCTAATAAAAAAATTCGTTCTAAAGAACATGCACGGTTTTAATCTATCAACAGTACGTACATCAAACGTACGGATGTATTAAGAATATTCATTTTAATGGAATCGTGGGTTCAAGCATCAGCGCTAGGCGTCTGACGTTTCTTAATTAGACCTATTCATATTCGATTTGATCTCGGCTATATTCCTCATTGAATCAATCAACATTCAGCGAGTATAAACTGAAAAATGCTCGCGGCGATTGTGGCTCGGTGAGAAGCATTATTAATTAAGGGAGAATAAATGCTAGCGTAATAAGTTCATCGAAATTAACGTTTTTGGTTTACGGTCTCCCGGAGTGCTCGCGGTGGGGTCTTGACCTCCGATAGGGAGTTGCCATAACCAAAGGACGAAAACCCTAGTCAAACCTTTTCGCGTGCCTCTTCGTTATGGTACGAGCAACGGGCGAAGGTTGTTATTTGGAAAGGTTTGCTTGACATTTCTGGGGGCTTAGAGCCTCCATAAGGTTTACGATGATGCCATATTAACGAATACACACAACAAATACAAAGCATGAAAAGGATCACAACGCGTGTTGTGTCGGCTGTGGGCCGACTTTCACACTTCTCTGCCGATCGAATCATTGTGATTTCCTGATAAACTCACTCGTCAAACGAATCTTCATGGCCCCATTCCTCCTACTACCGCCCGGATTCGACATTTTCCACGCACATTTAACGCTTCCTACCGCACATCGGCACTCTAATTAGTAAATAAAACTGCTGCCTCGAAGCGGCGGTGCAATCCGCACACACGCAATCATGCACGATCGACTGTTGCAGTTAATCGACCTTACCGACACTATCGACTCCGGTTCTCCCTCTGTCGACTTGAACCACTCGAGATATCGAAACTACTGCGTGATACTGCCTAGAACGGTTACAAGGTTTCAATTTCCATAAAATTGTTACTGCAATTTTCAATTAAAAGATCGACTTTAAGCAAATACGTTAACTTTGGAAGAACAACAAACTTTCGTCTAGTTGTGTTAGCAACTATTTTGTTAATATATATTTCGATGTTGAAGATGTATTTTAATGATCCACGTTACGTGGTAATTAGTTAGCGTTATGAAAATTATTTATGTATTATGACATGTAAATATTATAATATATTAACTATAAACTTAAAATTATAATTAACTTAGAATCAAATTAGAACTTAAGGATACATTATCAATTATATTTAAGCGATCATTTCAGTCGCGTTTAACATTGTTTCAGAAACATTTTATGCAAATATTTCAAATTTTTCATCTTCTAAACAAATTTGAATTTATTTAAAATTTTTTAATTTTTTCCAGATCAGGCGGAAATGTTTTTGATTTTAAATGGGTGTTTAAGAATACAACATTGGTCTAAGCTACTTTTTATTGAAGACAAATATATATTTACAAAGTTATAGAATTTATTTTAAATAACTGCACACAGGTACATGTATTACATATTAAAATTTTCGGTGTTACATCAGGATCTATGATCCTGATGAGGGTGATATATTCATATTTATTAAACATTGTATAAAATATATAAGTTAACAGATAAACCAGAAGAAACGTTGGATAATATCGTTATAAAAAGGTGTAACATCCATGCGTATAAAAAATGTAAGGAATCAGCTTTCTAAGTATGACTTGGTAAAAAAAACACGTTTTGCTTTCGCACGGTAGCCGTTATTGGGCGTAGAGCGCGATTGTAAATTAATTTATGCGTGGCAATAATGATTACAACTTTCACTGGCCTTAGAATTAGAGAGGGACTGCAGCTTATTCTAGTTAAACGTATCGATATTTTGGTATCATCAATGAATGTTACAATTTTGAATTATCGCTACGTCCACTCCTTCATTTGAATTCGTGGATCCGAATAGATAAAATTATTTCAACACTTTTCGTCACGAACAAATGTATTCACGAAAATATCCGAATGCTTACGAACGAAACGTTTCAATAAATATTTTTTTTTTAATGCAATGGGATGCTTATTAGTTCAATGCTTATTATAACGCTGTAAATGTAAAATCTCATTTTACATTAGAAAATTGTGAACACAGATTAAATAAAAGCTCATCACCTCGGTGAACGGTTTCACTGGATAAAGCTTTTATTTAATCGTCGATTGTATATAAATTGACGAATTTATTATACTCCGTTTATACGCAATAAGTATCTCATAGCGAGATATAAATTGAAAATGTAACATACAAATTCACAAGGTCTTTAATGACAATTAAAACAATCATTAAACAAATTTTTGAAACTTACTCTTAAGAAGTATGTTAACCTGAAGGCGAAAGATTGCAAGCAAGTACGAATGGTCCAGTTAATATGATCATCATACCCTTTTATGGCACTTTATGGATTTTTCAGCAATGCGTGAATACTTTCATGACTTACCACTCACAACTCCATCATTCAATAAATATTTTCTGCTATAAAATATTACAGTTTCGAATATGAGAAAAATGATTATTCAACGTAAGCATGTTGTACATATATTATTTATTTCTGTATACTGATATTCCTCTGAAAAATCTATTCTGTCGACTTTTGTTATTTTCATTTGTACTCTGTGTTTTGTTTCATAAGTTGCTCTGCAATGTTTCACGCGTGAGCTCATTACCGTTCATCGTTCTAATCGGTTTAGTACGATGCTCCCATAGAAGTGTTTAATGGAGTAATTTATTCGATCTTTGGCAGTATTTATGAATGAAAATTTCGACAGTTTCGCATCACGGAATGTGATTGTACTGTGTGTAACAAGTATCATTGGATTCAGTTTTCTCCTCGGAACGTAAGGAATGCGTCCACGAGGAACAATGCTGCTTCGATTATGCTGATCGATCCTTTGGCGAGACCTGTGTCACGGAAAGATTTGGAGTACCTCATCTGTAAGAAGTAGTCGATGTTCAATGCGCCGGTGATGATGAACAGGACACAGCCGACCACGGCGAAGAAGAGGTCCTGCGGCAAACAATTTATATGAGTCAGTTTTGCATGGTGTTAGATTTCAGTCAAGTATTGTCAATATTTGAAATTTCAGGAGCGGTTTATTTCAGCTTAAAATTATTACTGGAACATATATCTATTACAATTTAAAACTTCTGAATTCGAAAATTAACATTGAACTTGCCAAGACTGAATTTAATTAGATACACTTTCGCCATTTTGATTATATCTTATGTTTGAATTAAGAAATTTAGTCGACTGTTTTCTACAAAAGGGTCTCCGTAATTTGAGCAATTTTGAACGAAAAAATGCGAATTCGGCAATTTTGTCCGGTGCGGTAGGTTTAATGTTAAACAAATCAGTTGTAAATTAGGAAATTTTGTGCATACGTACCACACGCCGATTAACTGGCGTCCCCATTACATTGCCAGCAAATAACCCCACGAGAATGATTAAGTATCCGCCTAAGGTACCCATAGTAATCATTGCTGTGTGTTTATCGGCAGGATTGAAAGAGTGATAATCCAATCCTATAAGGATGCATACTATCAACTGAAATTTAAAAAAAAGAGATACCATGAAAATTTGAATACTCGTAAAATGTGTTAAGCAATTTCGAATGTTCAATTAATTCTATAAGAATGGTCGTTGGAAAACTGTTATGGAAAATGATATTAAGTTGATTACATCAGTCTGATTGTGAGCTGACTGCCATTAAACTCGAATGTAGGCCGATAAGAGACCTAAGCATGGACGTTGTGGTCATAAATAATACATTAACATTCTATAATTGCGTTCCAGTTAGGAAGTTTCTTCTATTCCGAGAAACACGTATTCGGTTTTGAACTGTAATTCCGTATTTTGTCATCGAGACGATTACTAACGATGGAAGATTGTATTCTAGTATTATTTCTAAGTATTCCTATTTCCTAGAATTGTGTGTCACTACTTGTTGCACATAATATTTCATTTATTCAATTTGTTATTGCGTGCAGATTTTTCAAATGTACGAAAGCCTTTCTAACAAGGCCTTTCTAACAGCATTTCTATTTTCTTTTTACAATGAGTAATTTTCTTCAATTATAATTTTCATAAAGATCTGCAGTCTATTTGTCGTGGTATGGTTACAAGATTTTATAATCAAAACGAATTTATCGACAGTTTTCTTTCATTCAATTATCAATCTTTTGTAAAATACTGTGTCTTGTATAATGTTTCTGATGACAAAAAATGTTAGCATTTCTTCGTGACTGGAAAAATTGTATATTTTATAAAAGCATTTTATTTACATAAAATATGAAAAGAGTCAAACAAATACGGTATAATTACAGTAAGTCGCATACTTTCGCGAGAGATTTTAAATGATTATCGTGCGCTAAACGCGAGCCTAAAGGAACGTAACGGAAACGAAGACAGTGATTGTCTTCCGGTCTAACAAACGGTGTGACCACAACGAGAAGATAATCGCTCGCTTCGTAGTCTTCGGTTATTATACTAATCTCCATTCTGGGACGTTCTGAAGACATTCTCTCCCGAAAAGTGTTCCTTTTGCTTTCGCGATGTTTACTTCGTTTTGAAAGATCCGTCTGCCATCGAAGAATATTGGAATTGTATATTCAAAATATCATGGACCGTGACGTAAATGATTAAAATGATTGCTGAATGCTTAGTCACAGATAAGTTTACTTACCAGTTCCAAGAATTTGATGATGGTAAGTCTTGTGATGGAGGCCATTTTGAATTAATCTGTAACAAAGTACATAGTACAAAGAACTTTCACTGAAACTATTCTTCGGCAGGTAATCTTCATTACCATGAATCATAACATCATAAAATTGTTTAAATAAAGATAACTGTGTATCATGAACAGCAAATAAGAAGGTTGTTCATTCGATGACTCAACATAAGTTCGCGTTTATTATATTTCTTATCGTTATCTTTCTTCGTGTTCATTAATCAATTACAAATATTATCGCATCTTCGGTCAATAATTCTCAATTTGGCTCGATGGGGTGCAATTCCGAGTTACTGCTTGAACGAATGTTTTCGGTCATCATTACATTCATGCATTCTCTATTGTGATCGATGAATAACTGCACATAGTGATCGTTTGACTCACGCTATTAAATGTAAATCGCTTCGCACATAATGCTTAACGTAACATCCAGTTAAAGACTTGATGCAACCTTATTATTCATTTACGCGTTTATGCACTTCTTTTAATAGACGCCTGAGACGATCAACATGCTTAACATTTAATAATATTAATGAATTATCTTTATTTCTCAATGACCTCCGCGACAGTGATAGTGCTACTCTTACATGATCGTGGACGTTATTTATGCCGTTTAACAATTCGAACGAAATAATGCTATAAGAATCGTGGAACGTGTAGCAGCGTTCGTTGTTTAATTTGCGGAATAATTAAACAATATCAGATAGTTGAAGAAATAATTTGAAGCAACAAACGGTAACGTCACAATTTATTTAGCTTCTGCAACTGTATTTACTTTTTATAAATTGTAGAATCACGATTGTTAAATTATTCCAGAATCATTCAAATTTTGTAAACGTTTGTAACGGCACATGTGAATCACAGACGTCAACAATAACAGAAACGGGCCACTGACGACGTTATATTTAGACGGTCATAGGATGACATAAGGATTATGGTATCGACGATGACAGTAACCTACAACACAGGTTTCAAAATTTGTCTCGATTTTTCCCTTGCATTTCATTGCCGAAAAACCATATCACCCAGAAAACAAGCATTAAAAGCATGCAATTTAAAAAATGTTTGACGAATGGACACGTTCAGATAAGAGTTATGTCCTCAATATCCAACCATTTCAATTTCTTCTATTGTATTATACTTCCACGGTGATTAAAATCTGTAGAAATTGATCGAGGATATACTTTATCTTGTTAAGTATCGTATAAGGAAATAGATGTAAACAAAAGGAACGGCTCGTCAAACCAAGGCTAAATTCAAACGAGCAGCTATTGTGATATTTACGCGCTGCTAAAAATCTCATTTTCCATGGAATACTTTGCGCAGTTAGGTCAGTGGAGCAGGCATCATTTGCGGCGGCCGTGCAATACCAAAGATGGACAGAATAGCTGGTAGAAATACCAATACGTGTCCAGAGCACATGTACCATCGTTAAACGCATAATATTACGCAAAAAATGTTTGCAGACTTTCGTAACACCAAAGAGTTAAAAATCCTGCTTGCAACGATATAATATGTGTAATATAACAATATAATATTATATTATATTATTATTATATTATATATATTATATAATATTATTATTCTATATTCTATATTCTATATTATTATTATTATATATTCTATATTCTATATTATTATTATTATATTATATATATTATATATTATTATTATTATATATTCTATATTATATTATATATATTATATAACAATTGCAATGGTATTGCATACAGTTTAGAAAGCCCGACAGATTTTCCATAGTCTTCGCTTCGAGCGATGGTTGAAGTAATCTCTTTGAATCCGTGTTTGCAATAATCGATATGTACGTAGAATCGCGCAAGAATAGCGACTACGTATTCTAGGAAAATAAAACCAGAAAGAGTGCACAGTTTACGACGATAAGCACGAAATCTTGTTGAAACAGCACGGTTTGCGTAGCACATGTTCTCAATAACACCTATCGTAAACCTATGGTAACTCACAGGATAGAACGACGCTGGGCCCGAAGTGTTTCGAAGCTGCACTCAATATAGAGGCCTTTGTTTAAATGAATTTCGTGCCAGAGATACGCGCGTACCTACGCGAAAGAGAATGAACGCTTATCGCACGTCCTGTCGCGAGAAACAAAAAAAATACAGTGCCCGAAAAGAAAATCGAGCGCGCGCTTTCACGTGAGAAATCATCGACTGCGACAGAAAGCCTTGACTCAACTTCGCGAACAGTTTCTCTTGACGTGACTTCTTTATTGCACATAGCGCTCGAAGGACAGATGCTTTCTTTGAAAAGTTGTCCCCGGCGCTCCGCATGACATCGTTTTTTTAAGGAACGTTGAATTAGATCATCGAGTAATTACATCGTGCGACACCACTTTCTGTTGCTTATCGCTTCGAAACATTTTACGAACCCGTAAAATGTTTCTTTCCTTTTAGTGACTTTAACCACTAATAGAACAACCGAGCCCTAAACGCGGCTAATGTACATACATTGTTCTATTAACAACGACGAGATTGGATTTATTTGAACATGAGGAATTGCAAAAAAAAATAATAAGAAACCAGTCCATTCTAGTGTTAAATATAGTAGTTCTTGTTGAATCGATTATTCTACTGAAATATCCACCGTGATTATGGTAAACGTTGTGTTACATTAATTTCGTTCATGAACTCTTTAGAACATTAAAATTCTTTGTAACATTATAGAAAGTATATAATGGAAATTTTACCGATTGGACATATAATTTAGCTGCGATTATTTTCACTGCCTCGACAAGAGCACATGTTATCGCTTGACATTTACGTATGCGCGAAATTCTCGCCGTTCCGCTTAAAATAAAGATTCATAGTATACCCGAATAAATGTAATCTCCTGCGTGACTCATTTTACTTTCAATTCAATTAGAATGTTCAATTGAAATAATTATTGTTATCACACGTTGAATGTAGTTTTAAAAGTATTATCTCACAGCAGCTCTCAGTGATATCATCGGCATTGATCGGAATTAAGAGCTTCTCGAGTAACGAAAGTGCATTTATCATGCTTGACGTCTGGATAAAATATTAACTTGAACGGAAAACAGTTATCATTGCAAAGCTCATAAGCGCGCGGCTTGTGCGCGCGTTCGACGGGAACTGACGGGATAGAAAAAGTGTTTTCAAATGTGGAAAGTGGAAACCGGCATTTACGTTTCATACTAATTGCCGCGAGGGTCCGCGCTAACGTGCGAATTTTGCCACGCGTTTGAACAGTGCGACTCATTATGTGAGTCACGGATAAAAATTGACTCGCGAACGAGCTTGGTCGCGTGATTTTCCAACACGTTATTCAATTACACGTTTAAGATGATACCCCGACACCTCCTTGTCTCTAATTGTCAACCTCTTGGCCGGATAAACAACGGTGACTCGTTCCACTCGCGATTTTCTTACGTTGCGTTATATTTTTCGCCTTGATCCGTGGTTTCCCCTATCTAATCGCAGCGATAATAACTGACAAAATTAGATTTTGCTAAAATCCATGACAGAACGTTGCAGTAAAAAAAAGGATGATATCAGAGCACAGTATTTTGTACGAAAAATTTAATCCATTTTCGATGTCTCGGAAGAATTTCATTAAATTAATATCACGACATTGTTAGAGTATCTTTTTGCAAAATGATTGCCATTATTACTTTTCTCGGTAATTTCGTTACGCCGATTTTTGTGCAAAATAAAAATTGTCTACATTAATTGCAGATTATAGGAGACATTCGCTTAATAATTTTAACGTGTTAAAAATAATGCAACAGGTTTTTAAAATTCTTTAAATGTTTTTACGATTTCGCGAAGCATTAAATCCGCGGTCGATTGTTTATTATAAATAGCGTCGATATTCTTTTCAGTAAGAACTGAATGTACAAAGACGCTTCTTCGTTTCTTTCTTTTTTTGTCATATGAAAATGCAACAGCCTTATTCCGATCGTAAGAACGTCGGCTGGTCTTCATCAACCGGCAGCGTATTGTCGAGATGGGCGGGAGCGGAACCTCGCCCTTGACATGTGCCCATACAAAAATGACCAAGGTGTTAAATAAAAGCTTCTGGCGTCCAACGTGTGACTAGCAAATTGCCGTAATCTGTGCCAATTCAACGCCCTGGAAGATTTCTATTGAAGTAATCTCTTCCACTAGCTCCAATAAAAGTTCAAAAGTGTCCTGACGAATCAGTTCAAGGCGCGCCTCAACGTCCTCGTCGGTTCTTTCTATCATAAAACGTCTACATTCCGTTTCATTCCCGACCATCCTGCGCGTTGCTGACGTTCTAACATGTGATCCGGTTTTTGTCCCGACAACTTTTTCAAACTCGAATATAAATTATATCCCATTTGTTTCTTACGCGCTTCGTCCACGAACTACACATATCCCGAGTGTTAGTCACGGATTTCGAAGCAAATGAACTTTTCGACGAGCGCGGAAGCTGGCCAAAAGTATTTCCCAAGCGAAATTTCCCGAACGCGTTGCAATGACATTTCGATGGATTGGACTCGATGATCGAAAGCGAACACTTACATGTGATTGTTCGGTGGCTTTGCTGTGCCGCACGTGGACGTTCACGAGACGAAGGTTCGGCAACGACTGATGCTAAGGTCTGATCGCGTGTCGCGAAGGAGGGACGCGCAGCTCTGATTTTTACTTCACCACCGACAGAAACACGCGGCTACGCGGCTCTTTTTAAGATGATCTCACACTTGTCACGACCGAACAACTTGTAACGCAAGAGAAAATAGAATATCGACTTCGAATGCTATAGGCAGAGTGCAGCAACGTGAAAGAATGAAAATAGGATACGCGAAAAATGCGGGTGTAGATTGGTTTGCATCTTCGGCTATCAGCAGCTCCTGCGCGAATCCGATCGTTCTACGTTCTAAAAATGTTAATAATAATAATCTTATTTATCAACGGGATGAACCCTTAACGTTCGATCACTGGATTTTTTAATGTTATCGTTTATCCGAATGTTATAAGATTTTCTCAAAGGGTGGGTAAGATTCCTCGCAAAAAATGTCAGTGTACGATCCACGCTTGGTTGATTACTTAGCGCGTAATTGCTACTTATTAACTTGGAGGGTAAAGAAACCGAAGTTGAACGTAGGTGGGTAATAGAAGAAGACTCTTTGTGATATACGAATGACGTCGTGGCAAAATATTATCCGCATCGGATTCAATTTCATTTAAAAGTGTGGACACGTCTTTATACACCTACGTTTCACGGCCTGCTACGCAGGGATGTGTGTAACCTCCATTTTACTATACTTGAGTCATCTCTGTGATACAGTGTCTCTCATATGTAAGGTCTTCTCAATAAATATCTCCATTATCTCGTGAAGTGTGCAACAGAAATAGAAAAGTATATTTTTGGGATAAAGCCGATGATGGTGTAGCAACTCGAATGTACCGCTTGAAAAGAAAAACATTCGTGATCCCAGCTTTGTTATGTTCACATTTTTATATCGTATATGAAAAGAGTAAAAATTCCAAATGAAAATTGCCTGTATTAATTGCAAGACACATATCAGTTGCATCGATATTTATTTCTTAAAAATAATTTTAACGAATTGAAAATAATGCAACAGTAGTTGAAACGTTTTACAAAATATTTTGACTCTTTTGCATTCGATCGTACTCGTTTTTATCGTAAATGCATAAAATCTGCAGTGAACTAATAACTTTATAGCTTGACAAATTTCTTATTTTTCGATGTTCCCCCTCGTAAATGTTTGCGTTCGTTTCCTTTGATTCCAAAAAACGATGTGAAAGATCAACAACAAACGATCCGTCCTTACGTTTTGTATCTTTTTTTCACAATTCGATCGACAGGCGCAAAAATGTTTTTTCCGTGGAAACGTTGGAGTGAGAAACACTGCATTGTTATCACGTTCATTCAGTCAATGGCAGGGCACATGTTTTCGTGAAAGGGAATACGGAGTTCTAGGGAAGAAGAAAGTCAAGCGCTCAATTATCGCAATGCGAAGTTAATTGTAATTTTATATTATCAATTAAGCGTTCCAGTTCTCGCAATTTATTGTGCAACGTACGGTTTACTTTTTGCGAACCGCTTGCCATTGAAATTCTGTAATGGTACTCTGATTCACCGCTGGTTCACGCATGTGATACGTAAAAAATGTAATCGATTAACTTGCGTGGATACACACCCATTATTTATTCTATGAATTCTGACAATGTTACATATTATTACGTCACGCCAAGAGAGTTTATGATGTCTATCCTCACACCTATTCGAAAAATAAGTTTTGGTAGCAGCTCTTTTATATCCTTTGGTGGAAATTGAAAACATATAATTAACAGTTGTTTAACGGTGTTTTCTAAACTCAATATATATGTTATAAATTACATGCGATTAAAAAGTAATTATTATTTCGATTAAATATTCGCTTGCAGGCATTTCATGAAAAAATTTCGATACAAAATGCCATTGCGTAAAACGACTCTAAATACTTGAGAAAATGCTATTGCCTCTAAATTTGAAAGAGATAAAGAAGATTGAAGACAGTGTGGAACTTTTTAAATTATATTTAATGATTTTATTTAATCAACTCCGAATACAATGCTTCCATATTTAATGATCATATGTTGAAATAAACTAAATACTATATTAAAAATTAATGAAGAATTTTACATTTGTCAAACTCTTTTCGTTGCTTTATCTTTTGCTATATCTTATGCCATTGTGGTAATCGTTTCAAATCTTGTCTAATTGTACTAAATGCGTTTTCGCGGAGTCCATAGTTGATACGGTGCATTACGTTGCTGCAACGCCCTCATGAGTGACATCATTTCGCTAATTGCACCATGACGTCCTATTGTATAGCTAGAATGCGAAACGTCGTGAACTTCTGCGGAATTTATGGCAGTAAACTGCAAAAATAAATCTATGCCGTCAGATTCCATAATAGATGTTACGTACGTAGGTTGTATAGTGGAAGCGACATGGTCATCCACCTAGCATGATGTATCCCATAGAGTTGTACACTTATATCTGTCTGTTTTCCTATTTAATTTCTGTAGTTTTTCTTCCTTGCCCTTGAATATGAAATTTTGTATATAATATGATAAAAAGATTAAAGAGTTTTGTTAAAAATTCGGAACTAGTCGAATCATTATTATGCGAGCTAAATATCATAAAATGCGGTTTTTTAACTTTAATTTAAACTCCCAAAAGATAAAAAATTCTCAAGGAAATACATTTTTAAATCAGATAAGGATTATATAAAATTTTATTAAGAAAGTCTTAAAAATAGTTAAACTTCTACTACACATTTAGATGAGAACTTATTATTTAAAGAAACTAAACAACATTCTGTGTTTCGTAGAAATAGCAACGTTTACCTTGAGTGCCACTTGTGGTCGTGATCGATTGACGGTATAGAATTTATTTAGTCAGCTTAGGATAGAAAATAATAACGCATAATTAAAATGATACAAATTTAATGAGAATGCCAGAGGGTACATTGAGGTATATACAAAATGAGCTTAATTTAGTAGATAATGATAAATGAAGTTGTAAGAAACACGATTGGATCCGAATGTTGCCGTTGTGCACATGTTTTATGCACATACACAACATGAGCATGCTATTATTAAGAATCGAATGAGACAAAATTATTGATTGTACTATTTCTGATTAGAAACGTATATTCAATATTAAAAATAAAACATCTGTGTAACAATTTTCGTTGCGACACATTTATGGAACATATTGTATTGATAAATATAAAACGTTTATCATGAAGCATACACACGGTTGAACAATGATGGCTTTTAATAACTGCGTCCTATGTATATTCATAGAAAAACAATTCTATTATGATTAGGTATCAACATCAATAAGTATTAACATGTAACAATTTTCGACATGTGCTTTTTTTTCTTTTCACTCGGTACTAGTACCAATTACAAATGACACTTCTTACATGTTTCTTTAGGAATTTTTTATGCTTTTTATCACACTAACGGTGGTAATTTTGTCTTATAAATAATTGCCACAATTCGTTTAATGCAATTTAGCGTTACGAAGAATAAATGAAACGCCCGAAAAAGGATAATTCGTTGGACACTATACAATGAAATATAAATGTTATATTGTACGATCGTCTACATTGTTACCAAAAGATTACCAGCTCTTTCATATGCCCAATGGCATCAAACTGTTTAAAATGTCATATTACATTTTATAAGACACTTCAACCGGGATGTGGGAAGCAAAAAAAAAGTAACAATTACTTTATTTGCCGCATAACCAGGAGAGAAGATGTTATCATTACACAAAAGAAGTTGTAATATAATACATTGTTTTTCTGTTTTTCTTACTGTTGGAAAATAACTCAGCCAAACCGACCAACATATACATAATTATATAAGATACAAGCCTCTAACGTTAAATTATACAGGATAATATCGATACTACAGTTTTCAACAATTTTAGACAACAGCGACCCCAATTTTAAAGGAATCGCGGCGCTTTATAATTATCTTTCATTTTAATAACAATCAGGATACAAAACGAAGGAAAGAAGAAATTAATTAAATAATTAAAATAACATTTTCTGGCATAGTTAGACGAAATAAGTCTCTCTGGCATAGCTTAATCGACTAAATGATTTACGTTTCGAATGAGTAAATTTTGGCTGTAATAGAAATTACGGTCTCTCTTAGAAGCGAATTTCCCGATTCGTCTGCAATTGTTAATAATGTTCATCACTTTTGATCAGTGCTTGAGAAATATAAAATATATAAATCAACTACTGTTCAATTTTGTCATCGTTATCACCGTGTAGAGTTATCTAGCGCCTATCCGTTTTTCGTTTTCCTCGCTATTCTTATTATCATTAAGGTATATTATAAATACTTTATAACTGAAGAAATATTGTTACACTATATACAAAGGTATGATTAAAGTCTGCTTACGGGGAATCTAAATATGCAAAATGCAACCGTCAGTTGCATATTTTTCAGTAACAGTCTCAGAGTTAGGGTTTCGTTCTCATGTTTTTCGAACTTAAAACGTGAGCGTTTTGGTTTCTAATTATCGAAGCCATTTCGCAAGAGGACACTTGTTCGAGCTGTAATCCGAACACTTTGATCGTATTTATTCGAAAAGTAGAGGAGGCTTCCGAAGATAACTCCTAAAGAAAGTTTAGGCGCAATACTGCTCCGATTCCGAAAAATAAATTGTTAACAACGTGAAAAAGTCGGTCGTCGTGTGTCAATCACGTGAGTTGCGTCATATTACTTGTCGAAATTGTCTCAGAATGCGTCCCCAACACCTTCTCTCGATCAGAATATCAGAATTATAGTTCGTTCTGTTCCCTTGCCAGCTCAATAAATATACTTATACGAAATAGTTCGACGGAATTGTTTTTTAAACAATCACCAGGAAGGGTCTACATCGTATTACCGAAGTACGAAATCATGAATCATGAAAACTCCGAGTGTGAAAAATCGCTTCGGATACACGCGTACAGTGACTAAAATATTATATAATCACGTATTATCACCAGATGATACATCTTTATACAACTCAATTAATAAAGACTAAACTCTTATACCATGTTGTATGAAACCGATACACTGTCTTCTGGAACTATATATTCTAGCGGTACCGGGTATGCTAATTCGCGAACTATTAATTCATCAGCAAGAGATATCACCTGCGAACAGAAATCCATTAGCGATTTAATACAAGCAAGATGCACAATATAGTTGAGTATTTCGAAAATTATCTTGACTACTTACCCCGTACTTTTGAATATTAAGATAAAGATTAACATATATGCTATTGTTAATGTAGCCTTCGATTTGAGCTTGGATAACAGCACCGCTGCACATGTGAAGAACTATGTCGAAAGCCTCTTGACACCACTCACCTAATATAAACGAATGTTACAGTACAAAACACTTCAAGCTATTGTTAAGGACTGTGTACAATACAGCAACATGCTCACCATTTGTTGGCTGTACATTTGCTAACAATACTTCAATTGCTTGGAATGGCAATGTGAGATAATCTGACCTAATTTTTTTCATTTCTACGTCACTGAAATACCAGTAACCCCCGTGATCTACTAGCCGTACTAAATGCCGTTCACCATTGGGATCTGGTTTCTCGACATATGCCCTCACCCACTTATGTTGCCAATTTGCTACTAGGATCATGCCCCCTGGAAATTAAGTACGAATTAGAAAGTTAATAAAGACTGCAGAGCTTCGTGCAAATAATGATGTGTGAAATTCAACATCGTGATAGATTAATAGAAAAACTCACTGCTAAGTTCTTTTGGAGCTGGAGGTGAATCTGTCGTGTTGTATAATTTTGTCATACTGTCAACTAAGGTCCATAGATAGGGGTATGTGGGGTGAGTAGGAAGTTGTACGAAAAGGCGATTTGGTTTAACTATATGACATACGATAACATCGTTATTTACTCCTCCCACTAGGGATAACTGCATTAACTCTGTAAGCCATTCGTTGAACGGCAAAACCTGTTGAAGGTTCACGTCCGGATATCTGTTTTCTGGGAACCTTTGTCGTATCATGTCCAGAGCGACTTTAATCCCTTCTGGTGGTCCCGATATCTGACATAATTTCAAATCTCTCGATGAAGGATGACAGCGCAGTTCCATGTGCACGTTAGCTTTTATTTGTATAGTTTGTAAGAAACTACGGCGGGCACCAAGTAATTTTCCTACCAGTCGTTGTGGTATATTAAATTCGTATGATGTTGGACCATCTTTCAGATGATCCTCGATACTACCACCTGGAATAGACGTAGAATTTTAAACACTGTACAATACATGTAGATTTAGCGTTGTGTTAACCAAGAGTTTTCTCCATCATCAGTACTCTAGAATGTTCATTTTGAAAGACATTTTACTAGAATTTCCTAAATACTGATGATGAAGGAAAACTGTTGAACAGCGTATCTATTACCATATGTATTACTATTACCTTTACCACTATCTGTACTTCCTTCGCTTCTAGCTTCGTCTGTGACACTGCCTTCCAACACGCCAGAAACTGGACTGTGATTAGCAGAATCTCTTTCGGATAATACTTGCGTTGGACTCTTGGCGCAATTTTTGGATGAGGTGGCATCAGGTTGCTCCTTCTTTGGATGGCAGCTATATTCGTAATTCACTTTATGTGCCTCTTTCTTATCAACGTGCTGCAGTGAGTTGACCTCGCAAGCTATCTTCTGTTCTTCTTCTTCGGTAACGTTCTCGAATATCTTCATCACTTTGCTATTAGGCTCCATTGCGCTCTCCACAGAGGAGACGCTTCTACTTCTGGCGATCGCCTCGAAATTACTTGTCTTGGGATTACTACCAAGCTGTATGTCCATTTTGCTGGATGTGGTATTATCTGCGTAGTTGTACCATGCTACCTCGTCTTTCGAAGATGTTTTTGATCTTGAGCTGTGCGTGCCCGGCTTTCTCTGAGGAATATCTAGACTCTCGCTTCGCTTTCTGGGACTGCAAACGGTCTCATCCGTCGGCTTGCTGCAAGAACTCAGCGTGAACGATTCATTCGTGTGTACGTCGGTGTCGTACAAGTTCGAGTTGACTTTCGACGTGGCTGGTTCTTCTCGGCAATCGACGGGGGTTCGATCGCTACGATCGGAGTTTATAAATCCACCTGGATCACCTCTGTCAACTCGGCGCCGTTTGTACCAGAGGAGGCCAATTATGAGCGCGAAAGCAGGAAAACTCCACTTCACAACTTGAACGTGGGTAGCTGACATGTTTCTGATCCACCGTAGCTGTTGTTGTTGCAAACCTTTTTATCCTGGAATGAAGAAATATAGTTTTACAATTCTGCATTATGGTACTTCATTCACGTTTCTCCTTTTTCTTTTGTTTTCTCAAAAAATATCTTCGATAACGAATCTCAAGGGACAGCAAAATATGCTATATACAAATGAGTTTAATGTCTAAGTAGCCAATCTCGCGTTCTGTCCGAATTGCTCTAATAGCGAGAACGAGGAAATGATCAAAAATAACGGTACAACTACGTGTATACACCGATTGTGCAAAGTCGATGAAATTTAACTTTTGCTCAGAACTATCTTAAGGTGAGCTCACACGAAGTCTAACTTTTAAAATATTGTAATCATTTCAAAACGTTTTAAACATTTTAAAAACACTTTTAAAGACATTATCAGAAGTAGATCCTCGGAATTGTTTTTACTTGAAGCAAGGCATAATGTGCGCACACCTTTACTCAGTCTCCTTCACTAATTAATGTTTCGCAAGCGTAACTTCCGGCCGTGAAGGGTGCTCGCTCGAGTATCGTTATTAAGAAAGCAAAGATCGGAGTCTCTTACGGTTCCACGAGGCGAGCAATTCAGAAAAATGTAAACGCTGATCATGGAAGTGGATGATTGATAAACTAAAACGACTTAATAAACGTACAACTTTACAATTTTGTTACGCCTTCGGCGCGGTTGCAAACATTCCTGTAGAAACGATTTCCCATTGTAAACACAACACATTTGTTGACGACTACATGGGAACTGTTTAGGTAGGCTACGTAAACGACTCGATCAGACACGAAGCCTGTTGGCGCGTTTTCCGCTAAAGGCAAACGTCCCGCAAGGACCATAATCCGTGAGCCTAGTCTAAGATTGTTTGCATTTTTTGCTCCGTAATTGGATTCTAATATAATCCCAAATATTTCTCGTGACGTCGGGACTTAGCCAAATTTAAAAGTTACCGTTGAACTGGCACTTTCCCTTGATTCGTATACCGTCGGCATTCTGCACTTAGTCGCGGCGCGTCCCAAGACTTTCAGGAAGCGACCGAGCGCTTCCCACGGAGTAGAATAATTTCGGATGCTCGAAGACTGATGCGCGTGATAGGCAATCACGAAATGAACCGGTGTTCGTTGACAGAGAATTGTGCAGGATACTCCGAGATAGGCCGGATTGGCGATCAACGATAATAGAAAAGTTTGAATCGCAGATTCGAAGTAAGCGGAAAGGTGACACTCGAAAATACGCGTCACGAGTATAGACTTTGCTTTTAATTTATACTAATAGTTCCTGGAACATGCTATGTTTCCAGCAGACAAATATTCTGTGTCTACGTTACACGAAGAATTCCTCTGTATTCAGCAGCGACTTGAAACAGCGTATTGCAGTAAAACAGTGCAATATTGTTACAATTACAACGAAATCGAGGAGTGCTGTTTTTCTAACAGCGCAAATTAGAAACTTTTCATAGACGAATTACGAGTTCGAATTGTGCGAGTTCTGCTTCCAGTGGAAGACGAAAAGCTGACAAAACTTTCACCAAGATCCACGTTTCGGCGTTGTTCCTCAATAATGCGTGCGACGAACGCATAAAATCAGTCCATTCTGTAGTTTGTACAATCAGAGTTCCACAAAACGAGCCGAACAACAATTACACGAGCAAACCTCGATGCTCGAATTACAAGACGGGCCATTCCCAGAACGAATAGCCCGAATCCTCCGCTTCCACGCAATCTCCATTCGCCTTCCCGCTCGCGTTACATACTTTGAGTGTGCCTGTAGAGCACGGTTGCCCGGTCACGTTGCATGTCGCGGAGCTTTCCATCTGTGACGCCGATAGATCCGCGGAACGGATCAATTCTCGCCGAAAGGAACTGCCGAAACGCGGGCCGGTGTGAACGTTACCCAAAAACGCGATACTATCGGGTTTAGTAATAAGCCCGTTCGCGTTTTCTTGTAAGAAAATATAGTACAGTGCGGTCGACGCGAACGGACCTTATGTCTTAAAGTAGACACTTTCAACTTTCATTAAAGCCAAGTTGCATGGACATAGCCCCGCGAGAACATATCTCGAAATTCATCCGAACTGTCGCTTTAAATTTGTGTAATTTTCCTTGTCTTTTTCCTAGGTGTCAGAAGTCTGGGAGCAGACTTATTATACAACCTAATATGTACAAGAAACTTCTCACAATTCCCGAATTAGTGGATTCGTGGCGTTTCGAAGGAGAAATTGAAAGGCTACATCCTCGGTGGAACTTTCCTCGGCGGAGAGAGGATTGCGACAGATTCGACGGTTGGGAGAATTCCAGGGCACGCACCAGGGGGACACCATGGGAGACGGCATGAGACACGAGACACGAGGCCTCGAAGGTCGGGGAAGCTACTTTTACAATCGGAGGCGGGACTCACCGTCGTTACGTCCATGCTCACTGCCATCTGTCGCTCTGTGATTCCTGACCAGTTATTGGCACTATCTTTGAGAAATTGTGTCTTTGACACCTAGAAGAAGAGCTCGCGAAGAGAAGCGACAAGACTCGCAGGCTCGGGCGTGAATTAATCTCGCTGGCGAACCTGAACGGCCGCTGTCTTCTGTCGCTTCGACAGTGACTGAACTGGCGCGAGCACGACGGGTACTGCGGTTTGCGGAACAGCCGCGGCTTGAAAGGACGCGGTAACTCTGGAGACCAGTTCAACCGGAACCGCTCACGATTGCGCAGACGCGATTACGTTAAGCGGCGCTCACACGGTGATAACGATGTCTGATAACGAGAGGAATCGGCTGCTTCAGTTTTGCATCGACTGACCGGCCAGCGAAAATATTTGCCGATCCGGCGATACGGCTGAATCTAAGCGAAGTCGAAGAATTCAATCTTCCGCTGGCCGGTTCTTTAACCTACCGAGCCGGTTTCACATTTTTTTTTGTTTTAAAGCTGTTGAAATGGCAAAGATTTCTAGTAATAGTTTAGTAATAATTAAGACGTTATAGTAACAATTTGGTAGTAATTTAGACGTTATGGTAACAATTTGTTAGTAATTAAGACGTTATAGTAACAATTTGGTAGTAATTAAGACGTTATGGTAACAATTTGTTAGTAATTAAGACGTTATGGTAACAATTTGGTAGTAATTAAGACGTTATGGTAACAATTTGTTAGTAATTAAGACGTTATGGTAACAATTTGTTAGTAATTAAAATGTTCTAGTAACAATTTGGTAGTAATTAAGACGTTATGGTAACAATTTGTGAGTAATTAAGACGTTATGGTAACAATTTGTTAGTAATTAAGACGTTATAGTAACAATTTGGTAGTAATTAAGACGTTATGGTAACAATTTGTTAGTAATTAAGACGTTATAGTAACAATATGGTAGTAATTAAGACGTTATAGTAATAGCTTAGTAATAATTAAGTCGTTATAATAACAATTTAGTAATAATTAAGATTAATTTCATCACTATAAAGTAAGCGCTCGATGGGTTTAATGTTCACACTGGTCCAAGCCAATCGAAATGACTGGTTTCCGATTTTTTCTTCTGTAGTTTCTGACGTTACAAAAATATTTCGATGAGTAACTTCTAGCTAAGCTTCTTCGTTCAAGCACGATACTCTCTGGGGACAGTGGGATCTCGTTAATTGATATTACTAGTCGTTAAATATCAACACAAATTAGTACCTCGATCGAATAAAGATTTTCCACCTTGATTGTATTATTAAATTGTTTAGTAAGAATGTATTCATTTTAAGAAAATTAAGTTTGGCATGAAAACAGGGGCCGAGAGAAAGTTTAGCAGTGGTGGTAATAGTCTCTTTCGTAGTGTTACGTAGCTATCATTTGCACGTGTCAGAGGTAAAAGGCAAAGTTTTTGTCCTCCTCATCATTGAGGGGGATATTGGGACGTGAACGTGAGTTCAATCTTGATCTCCGAAACACCTAATCGATCCTTTTCTGGATTCAGGAAACAGATGGCTGTGGAAAACTACAGTGAGCATCGTTGCTGCCCCTCCTTCCAAAATTGTCTGCTTCGAAGGACGATTATTTTTCGTTGAAGGAAAAGGAAGATCCGAGAGATTGAAAAATGATGGATGCTCGACATGATCGCACTAACAGATGAGCTCTTGGTACATCTATAAATGAAGAGAATTCAAATGCATGCGTACAAATCAACGTGGAGACCTTATCTAATGTCTAACACTTGAACGATTGATCACAGTGATTGGTCAGCACGGTACTTTTGGAAAAATTGTCGCAGCGTTCCGCTAAGATTGCAGTTAGCACCGTCGTTGGATAGAATGACACGTTATCCGTGATCCAAAACGATTCGAATAATACCGCGTCAGTATCAGCGTGTCATTCGACCCCCTGGAAGACTAAACAGCGACGAGTATGCGACACAAACAGCGGAAAGTCTCAACCTGCGATTATTCATATTGAGCACCTGTTCCTGCCAGGCATTCGCTCGCACAAAATGAAAATATTATTTTGCTTCCCGGTTAGAATTCTTGTGTAGAGTTAACGAAGAACTTGCTTCTTATCTTCGGGTAGCTGGAAATTATCTGGTTAGCGAATTTTCTGATTTACGGTGGCCATGTTGACGCAGAATCTGTTTAATAAAAACAAGGAAAATGCTGCGTTAATTGCGATTGGTTTTTTAATGAAACGAAGTGAAGGAGATAAATACTAATATGCATAAACAGAGTTCTCGATGCAAGTGGCTAATGTCATGCGGTTGCTACAAAATAGTTTTAGACGCAGGAGAAATTCCACCAAGTACTATGCATTAGGACTGTTTTGGAAAGATGTTAAACCTAATATTTTCTATTCTTTTAGATAAATGGAATTTTATTCTACTTTGTTGCGTACATGACATTAGTGTCATGTGGTTGCTACAAAATAGTTTTAGACACAGGAGAAATTCCACCAAGTACTATGCATTAGGATTATTTTGGAAAGATGTTAAACCTAATATTTTCTATTCTTTTAGATAAATGGAGTTTTATTCTACTTTGTTGCGTACATGACATTAGTGTCATGTGTGTGCTACAAAATAGTTTTAGACACAGGAGAAATATGTACTTTGAAATTTTTCCACCAAGTACTATGTATTAGGATTATTCTGGAAAGATGTTAAACCCCTAATATTTTTTCTATTCTTTTAGATAAATGGAATTTTATTCTACTTTGTTGCGTACATTTATCAGTGACCGATTAATTTTGCTGTAATTGTAGCAATTCGCGCAGTATCGATGGCAAGCAATTTCTAATATAGCGAGTGACGACGAAAACGGTACTGCGTGTATAATTGTAATGTCTGTTGCATGGTTGGGTAAAGTAGGGAGGAATGGGTCGTTCATGGAACTCCCTCTTCCATCGCAAGTCGTTTGATCAATTCGATGACTGTCCTCTTACTGGTACAAACGTTACACTACGAATTCTTAATGAAACGTTCCCAAATCCCTTGATTGAGTCTGATCGTTTAGACGAGCAAGGAGTGCGTGCGATTCGAATCGCTAATTCGCCACAAATTCTACGCTACGGACTCTGTAGCAATCAAAACTACATCAAACTTCATAAAAATCGCGAACTAAACATTGTATACTTTATTCTCATATTTCATAAATGGAAATATTAAGTCGGACTTCGGAATGGTCGTCATTTTGCAAATGGGTCGCGAACATCGTTTTGCAAAATGGTCAAACATTAATTTTGCAAGTAATACTTTTCGCTGTTACCTTGGAGCATAATTGTGTTTAATGCGTTATGCATAATAGATTCACTTGCAATTAGAAGTAAAGTATTATGAAACGCTTTTACTTTCGTTTACCAAACTGCTTCGACCAATTTCGAAGCGATTTACGTGTTCGCCGTTTCTTTATGCAAGCTCTCGTCATCGAAAATGACTTTGTAGTCTCGGAATGGAACAAAATGTCTTCCATCGATCAGATGATTTCACACGCGAAATCATTGCTAAAAGTAAAAGGAGCGAAATTGGTGAACGAGGGAGGCCATTGCGCAATGCTTCGTAAAATTATAGGTTTTCGTCGGTGGCAGTTAACACGGACACAATTCCGAGCAACAGGTTTCAAGGAATTTACGTTACGCACGCTTCGTGTGCATAAAAATTCGTGTCTCGTGGACACAGTATCCATCGCGTGAACGATTTCACAACGAGGCGAAGAAAGAGTCCGATACAGTTTTCACATCGGCGATAATCAAAAGTTTCCTGCGATCGCCGAAAGTTCTCGTCCTCTTACTTTTCGTGGAATTTCTGCAACGAGAACCGACGGATTGCGGAACTTTATGCGATCGCGGTGCGTGAAAGTCAAGATAAAAATTCGACGAAATTCGATTTTTCATTTATTGGAGGAACGGAAACCGTCAAAATGACGGGTCACTAATTTTTTAAATTTACGATTATTCGTATCGTAAAGGTACATTTATGAGTTATTTATTCCATTTATATGTTACTTACGGCAAATGTTACAATAACGCTTGTTAAAAATCGGAATAAAAATGTCTTATTGTCACTTATTTTCATAAACTACTATAAAACAGCTGTTTTTTGTGCTCCGTAAATCTGATGTTAAAAACGCACATCGTTTGCATAAACTATTACAATCTGTTCGCGAGTGTACGAAACCGATTACATCACGAAGAGAGTCCATTACAAATGCAAAGTAGTTAACGACCGCGTGCAGCATTATCTGCAATTCACTCACGCGTATCCGTGTGTAACGTGCCAATAATTAATTATTATTTTGCATTGAACCTATTATCGGCCAACACGCGACATTTTCTGCAAATATGCTTAAATTGTAGATCTGCTTTTGATCTTTCAAACTGAAACATCCATAGAACCGCAACATATGTAATCACGTAGCGTGATCATTGAATTTCACACTGAATTTTATAACGACGACCGCATCGCGTAATCATGTCTTATTTCATCTTGTCATTATCTTAGATTGTAGATAGCGCTCAAAGTTGCTAAAGCAACATAGTTGATAGCGCAACGGTTACATAACTGCAGCAGTTGGTAAAACGCGATAAAACAATTATAATTGCGATAGCAGTGCGAACTGGCGTTTCTCGATAAGGCTAGGATCGCCAGAAGTACTCTCAAGATTCACCCTACGTTGATATCGCATAGATTTACGTTAGAACTTTCTTCATGAAATCATCGTCAACACTTTTGCGAGATTTCCTTGGCTGTAAACTCGACAGTTTCAAACATTCCATAAAATCGAAGTAATTTATTTAATAAATTAAAAATTGTATTACACTGTGAATTCGCTAAAATTCATTTTAAGTTTGGGGGAAATAATCCGACACGTTAAAACGAGACCAAACTGGATAGAATTATTTATCATATTTTCTCGTGTAACGAGCAATTAGAATCGCATAAGCGTACGTGATCAAAATGATATCGCGTTCGGACGAATTTTCATCGGAACAATCCCTATCGAAACGTTTACTTACTGTCTTCTAAACTTAAGATTTATCGCGCACCACCTTTCGAATAATACAGTTGCCAATGTTATCAGAGAACGGTTGTATTACATATGGAAAGCTGCATTATCGCGCGCGCATAAATAAAATATTACAAGCGATTACTCTTACTTAACGCCTCATTATCGTCCTCGCGGTATCACG